CCCGCTCGTCCAACAAGGTACTGACATTACTCCTGTCAGTACTATTCCTGACAATATTCACAAAATCCCACATGTTTTGTTCTTGTGCTGTTTGTTCGCAAAATTAGGCAAATCATTGAAAAAGGCTTGAATAGCTAAGTAATATTTTACAAGATATTATTTGACAGCCTCGACTCTGATATCTCAGTGGTGCGACTTACGGAACCTCTGATCTACAACCCGGTCGTCCAACAAGGCACCATAGTCGCTCCTGGTAGTACTATTCCTGACAATACACCTGTCATCCAGATTGGATGGGGCGCATCGGTAAGCCATTATATTTGCATACTGATTAGATTCTTACGATCATAATTGAAAACTCTGTCGTAGAGACTTAACCTCGGACTGATATTTATAAAACGAACTTGGTCTAAGTTTAAATAAGAAATTACAAAGTAAACTCAAAGTTTAATCTATCTTTACTTAGTCGAAAACGCTTTACAAATCTCATCCTCAGAGTGAACTAATCCAAAATGCAATCCAGGTTCACTTTAATACAAAAAGAAGCTGCAGAAGCCACTTGCTGGTTTCACTCATTAGTCGCTTTCACTTTTACATCGGTCACCAAAATAAACCATCCCAGAAAGGACATTTGTTATACTGACTGACTTATACTTAAACTACCAGCTTCCATTGAGTTACGTATTTTACGGTATCTGAACTGATTTTCTTATTACAGCTTGACGAACTAGCATCACAAACACTTCAAGAAACCACTGTTGTCACAGTCAACAGACAACTCTGTTCGATGAATTACGAAGAGCTTGACAATGATAACTTTGTTATCACAGAAAACATGATTTGTGCTGGAGCGCCTGCCGGAGGCAGGGGAGCCTGCAGTGGAGACGCTGGCGGTCCGCTCTACTACGATAACAATGGAGCTCTCATTGTCGTTGGCATTATTTCCTTCCAGGAAGGTTGCGGTAATGCGACCTTCCCCAGCGTTAACACGGCCGTCTCACCATTCACCAATTGGATCATCGACACAGTTAGCCAATAATTTATTTTTAATTTACATTGTGCAAAGAAATATAAAATAATTAATTTAAAAAAGTTACTTTTTTTGTAGATGGATCGACAATCTGTCTAGATAGTTGACACTTAGAACTAGAGTTGAATTTACATTAAAATTCTACTTCATATTGTTGCAGTCTGAAAAAATGTACGCGTAATTTAAAGGTTAAATATTGTTTAGCTTATTATTTTACTTACCGAATATTTTGCTTTACACCATATTGTTTCTTATTTTCCGTTCTTTTTATTGCGGAATTAATTATGATAATTATTTTGGCTGCAATGTGATGCTGGTGATCACTTTTTAAGGCAAGTATTTTGCGAAATCAATTGGTCAGGTAGTATTTCACCATTTTTTTTGACATTTGTTTTGACTTCTCGAAAGAAAAAAAAGGTAAATTAGAAAGCAAACATATCAACTACATACCAATAAAACGGATTTATGTGGAATAATTTCTTTAATAAGTTATTTCCTTAGCTTTCCATCAAAACTAACTGAACGCCACCTAGCGCAATCACTTATAACTTCTTACTTAGATCTTGGTACGATTTCGCACGAATGCGTATGGGGGTTCTCACATTATATATTAGATTAATCGACGACACGTAGTTTTTGATGTCCATTTGTGACCATTCGCTACTCTGGCCATGAATTTGTTGCTATAATGAGACAGGTATTTTATAAATTATGTGACTACATAATAATCAAATTAGTTAGTGTTTTCTTTCCTAACTAGAACAACCAAGCTTTTCATTACCCCAAATCTAATGATTTGCAAAGCAACAGTCGTTAAATGAAATAAAGATTTGTATTGTTATACTTAACTTAATCAAACCTTAATGAAGGCTGCTAATACCTATTACCCGACTGGCGTGGCGGTAGCAGAAAACAGAAACAGTTGAATACCTTGTCTAATTGTATTAAATCCACATGCATATCGTGCCCTGTCGCAGTCGGCGTTGTGTCGCTAACGTGAAAACGTTCCATAGTAGTCTCTTCGATGGCGCACTAGATGGCACTACAAGTTGCTTTTAATCTCTATCAAAATAGAACGAACGGGAACTACAATTTGGACTTTGTATGGACTAAATAGTAAATTCATATTTTCTAAATACGTAAACGTCCACCAAATACGAGCATCCCTTGATACAGCTTTCATATTATAAAGTAATTGCATTATATAATAATCTATTCACACGTAACAATAATATCATTTCTGTCACAACATGAAAAAAGTAAAGTGAGAAATAACAGAGGCATATCGTCAACTTTTAAGAAATTCATTAGCTACGAAATTCTAATCTTCAATCATAGGGGAAACAATATAGCTTTGTTAGTAAATCATACATAGAATAAACACAATATTAATATAAACAATGTTTTAGGTAATAATAACATAATAGGATAGGTCAATTCCACAAAGGTCAACAGACCTTGTATAATTATGTTGAATAGGCGCAACGCGGCTGTTAGACATCGGTGTACCCAGCACGCATAACTCGAAAGAGTACAACCGAAGAAAAGCTGAAAAAATATGAACAGCTAGCCGAGGAGATTCGACAGGTCTGTGCAGTGGGATGCATATGTGGTGCTTTTCATTTTGCCCACAACCCAGTGTTGATCCAAAAGAGTCTGTTGGAGTGCTTAGACCTTCTGATTGAAGGCAAAATTCAAAAGGATGTGAAAATACGGACGATATCAAATGCCCACCACCACCTCAGCATATGAAAGACAGGTGGAGTGTTGCCAATGCTCCCATCACCGTCCATTAGGCGCCACACAAACGAATACCTTGTGTTGGATACAAGGAACAATACTCGGTAGTCGGTCTGGTACTGTTGCGGCAACCGGCGACTGTGCCGAACATCCGCAACCGGTGACTGTGTGTGGTTGCCGCAATCGGCCACTGTGTCGATTTCATACTAACTGTATAAAAATAGAAACTTCTCTTCTAGTTGCCGGTTGCTTGTATCCAAAACAGGCACGTTTGCGCGGTGCCTTAAGGTGTACTCTAAAAAGTTTCTAAATAATTATAATGTGATTTGTACCTAGGTGGTCGACGTCACCAATGTATCATGGTAGTGTAAGATAGAAATGATTGAATCGTTCGTTGTAAATAACTGATTGTATTGTGGTTGGGAAACTTATTTATACATACATACTTGATACGTACGTCTTTATGCTATCCTTCACTCTTTCATCCATTTCCTACCCCAGCAGTTACATGGTATCAAGCCAGGGAATTCTATACTATGAGTACCAGAACAACTCAACTCGGAATCTCCGGGGACCTACCCAGTAGGTCCAGACAAATATTTACTTAGAAAAGTTCGTTCTACGGGAAATCCACCCCAGGTCCTATACATGTAGCGCGGCTACCCGCTGAGTCACACAGGTCGTCAATTACAATTAGTAGTACAACATAGCTGTATACTTTTTCAGCGAAGTCGTAGGAGGATGAAATTAGTGTTTACGATACTTATTACCAAACTCTATTTCAACTGTATAATATAATATTATTATAATTGTACAACTGAAATATTTTGTATGTCGCTACTATATTATGATAAGCAGTCTTAACAGATACTTCAATAAACATATATTATCGCTATTTAGTGATAGCTAGATCCAGGGTGAGGTCTCGTTGCTAGCATAATAATTAATAGTCTATTTAATATCGTAATGCACCCCTCATGGAAGAATGACATAACGTCGTCTTAGAGTGAATATCTCGTATGTGATTTCTATGTAATTTTTCAGGACGAAGGATGGGACGAAGGAAAAAATGTGGTGAAAAAGTGTCAAATTTTAATTACTTATATTATACCTCTTTCAGACACTATACTATTAATAATATATTTGAGCAAGAAGTTTATAAGTTTTTCTTCAATAAAAATTAGTAAAAACGAACTATGTGAAAAAGCGTATGCAAGTTTTCACATAGGTGAAGTTATGTCAAAAATGTTTATTGCTCCATTGGACACAGAAAAAAAAACCCACATCCTCTTCAAAACTTGTAACTCTATCGACAATGTTAGTCGAGGAAGCTACAAGAATTGGAGAGGATGTAGGTTATATTTTTACGTATCTAATGGAGCAATAAACATTTTTGACGTAATTTCGCTTATGCCACTGCTCCATGAGAGGTGCGATAATGGCAGAAACCGTTGACAGACCAAAAGTCAAACTGAATATCAACATTATGTATTTTTAATGTTCTTCAGAAATTCCGGTTATATAAGCTGCACAAATAATTTTTCAATAACAGTACTGTGAGATATGAGTCTATAGATCGCGACTGGTTTTAATTCATTAGTTTTACATTTGGTAACTAGTATCCTTGCAGTTCTCATTATGACAAACATTTATCAGGCGTTGTCGGATACAATTAATTAAACGCAGGCATTTTGTATGTACAGTGCTAGTAGCTTTTAATCATGGTCGCAGCGTGGGGCTTTGGTGCGGCGCGGTGGCTCTAAGTAATTGTATACTATTCAAACACTAACTTGGGTATTCCCGGGCGCCGATCAATAACATCCCGCCTATCCCGGTTGCCCTCTCACGCGTGCGCAAAGGGATCCTATTGAGGTCTGTCCATAACCAACAAATCAAACGTCTATGGCAGACTAAAAACAAAAGACTGTAAATATTGTCTTAGTGTGCTATCGTTGAAGATGAGCACGGAGAGGGAGGCTGAGGGTATGTCATCCATTTTCATATTAAGTAGTTTGTAGCCGCGTCTGTAGTGTATATAGTGCAATGGATGAAACAAAGCAATTATTCAAGGGCGACGAGGTCTTCGAACCAAGTCCTGCAACTATAGAAGAGGCGAAATGTAAGTATGCGCACTATGTCATGCGATACTTTGTCTTAATTTTCCTGTTTTATTTCTTGGCAGCACAACATTGCTATACAGCACTTAATATTTTAATTTAGATATGTTGAAGCGAATTTTATTAAATTTTGTCCTGGTTGCAGCGGTGTAATTTACGATTGTGCAATATTGTAGTAATTACAAGGTGTAGCAAAGAAATATAATCATATTTCATCTGTACATTATTGTATTTATAATATTAAAAGGCTCAACAAAATATTTTTTTCTATCACAATGAAGCCGATCGATCGCGCATATTTGTATGGAAAGTCAGAAGGTGTTTACTGCTAGGACCACCTAAAATATCTTTAGATATTTTTATTACATCGACAATATTGTTGGTTAGCATTGTTGAATTTGCTCTGTTACTTTGTTTTTGTAGCAATAAGTGTTGAAATCGCTTTACGTACAAATATTCACAAGTTAACGACGAATAAGTAGCGGTAAATAATGACAATGACTTTTTATTAATATTAATGCAGGTCTCAGGTGCACGTTATTTACATTTGGAACAACAATTTTTTGAATAATGGTTTTGAAACTAAAGCGCCCATACTTTATGTGGCACACATTGATATTCCGTTTCTTTGTGTTTGTAATTTTCTTTTTCCTTGTAAAATATACAGTACAGAAAGTCTTTTTCATTCTGCACTAAGTATTGCAACAATATCGACTTATTTGGAAATCTACTGTAATGTATTTTCGTTTTAGAATACAGTACCTATTGACCGTGATAAGCCACTTTAGCATTGTCACAGACAACGTCCGCTTGCTACTCGGTTTTCTCTTATAAACGGTCTTGCTTCGGCGAAAAAGCAGTCAAAGAATAGTATAAGTAAATAAAACATAAAATATTTGTATGTTTGTATGTTTATTTGCTTTAACTTACTCTTAATTCCTTTTATATAATTTTGTACATGTGCAAACGAAAAATAAATGTAACGGTTTTTTATTTGATACTCTCTCAATTTGATATACTCAACAGCAGATTGGTCACGATCAGGTCAGCAGTTAGTTCTGCTTCCGCTGGATGAGTAGGTCCCAAGTAAACGGTAGCGCCATGCTACCCGCCGATCATTTTTCCATGCCGCCGCCATCGATGCATTTGACCGAGACGTAAATTTTTTTAAACTTGTTTTATTTTAATGATATAGCTTCTTTGTTAATTATTTACCTTGTTTCATAACAATTTTTCCCTACAATTTAAACAAATTACTTTCCTTTCTATGTACATACTATTCATATTTTTATTTTTGATAGTATTTTTACATTTTTAGTAACAATACGTTCATACTTGCTGAAGTACTAGTTAAAGTGTAACGAAATGAAGCGAAGGCTCATTGAAACCATGTTTTGAACACTTAATTTTACACCACGGTTTTGAATCCACGATTAGCGCACATGTCTTGTCGTATTTCCGGTACGTCCAATTTAGGAACCAAATTTTTATTTTGATCCTGGTCTGGGTGTTTGAGCTATTGCATCAGGAATTTCGTTGTCCTATATTCAAAATACAGGAAATTCCTAAGTTTGAGACCAGTTAATTAGTGCAACTAATTAAAAAAAATGTTGTTGCAGCGCCCGAGGAGATCCTCGAATCTATCGACGAACTGAAGGAGCGTTTGTCTTCAATGAAGCGCATGATGGAGGAGAGGAAAGCGGCCGGGGCAGGTACTAAGGACCTGTTCCAAGGCCAAGCCAAGAGCCTTCAAGGCACCACTATGATCGACGGAAACTTCCTCAGCTTCGTTTTTGGGGGCTCTCTGATTGTCATTATCAGCGTTTCGGTCTACGCATTCTACAACCTCTATCACGCTGTCCTTAAGAAGTTTCCTTCTTCTCATACTGAATTGTAAACGTTATAAGAAGTATATACTCGTATTTATTTATAATCAATAATGTACACTCCGGGACTTACGTATAGCGATTAGGAAGTATGAATATGCCAAATGATAACGGCTCGACTATTTTACTTATACTGTATGAGTATGACTGATGTAAAACGGAAGGATTGTGTAATCGTAACGTAAATAAGGTCCGAATTAAATTTAAAGGGAATATGTCCCATTTCTTTAATCTTAAATAAACGCTCAAAGTTTCCCTTTTACTTGAGTTTTATTGTGTCTTTTACATGACTTGGTAAATAAAAGTAATAAAATAACAAATTTAATAAAATTAAAACCCTGTGACGAAAGTAAACAAGAAGTCATGACTAATTAATTTTTAGAACATTCAACAACTCCTCGCCACTACATGTGTGTAGAGAAATAAAGCTTACTCATTCCACTAGTATAAATAGTGAAAAATATTAATTACTTAGTGTAATTGAAATAAAATCTTATCCGAAAGGAAATTGATTGCGATTTTGCGTGTCATATAAAGGTTTATAGCCTTGGTTGCGGGATCTACTCGCATATGGTTGGTTTTATGTCCGTCAAGTAGTGAGCCCTATAGGAATTTCTATTAAAACTTTCACCCTTATTAACAATTGATTAATGACACTCGAACAACAGACCTCGACAAAGTCCATTAACGTAATTGTTATAAAACTGCACGACACTTGGTGGTAATGCATCAAGTAGTGCCTGTTGGAAATATTATTAAGCGTTCGCCACAAAGAAATCTCGATAAATAATCGATAGTGCTGTGCAGATGATGTGCAAATATTTTGACTAATATTGTAAATGTGACAGTAACTCCGTCTGTTACGTTTTTACGCCTAAAAAGCTGAACAAAATTTTGAACAGAACAGAATTTTGGTATAGAGACAGAAGGACATAAGCTATATTTTGTCACAAAAATAATTCTTAAAGGGGGTGAAATAAGAGATGAAAGTTTATATGAGATATATAGAGAACCAATCATTTGTCAAGTACAATAGGCTACTCGAAGTACTTATTCTTAATAATAAATAATAGAAATGCTTATTCTACGCATACGAAGTCGCAGGCTCCAGCTTGTGTTCATCGTCATCATCATCATATCAGCTGAACATAGGCGTCCCCCAAACATTGCCAAACTAGCCATGGTTACCCGCCGCCATTACCAGGTCCTACTGAACGCCTTTTGGTTCGTGGTCTCCATTCGAGAACCTTTCTGCCCCTACGGCAGTCAGTTTTACGCTATGTGCCCTAAACTGCCACTTCAACTTGCTAATCCTTGGGCTGTGACGGTGACTTTCGTTCTTCTACATATCTCCTCATTTCTGATTCGATCTGGTAAAGAAATGCCGAGCATTGCTCGCTCCATAGCTCGTTGAGTGAGTTTCAGTTTTTTTATGAGTCCTATAGTAAGTGCAGTTTGTGTAGTACATAAACTCAATTAAGATCTAAAGGTCTAAATTAAGATCTGTAGATGTTTAGCTACACATTATAAAGCTATGGTAACTTACTCACTCCGCTGCTATAGTAGATCTTGGTCTCCGATACGACTTAGCGCCAGCTCGCCCAGTCTTGAGCGATCTCCTCCCAGTTCTCTGCGTGCAAGGGGCGGAAGTCTTTCTCGTTGTCGACCACTAGGACGTCTCATGTAAGCCCTTTTCAAAGCTCTATCAGCCGGAATCAGTGGAAGCAAGTCCACAAGACTACGTCGGCTCGGACATGGATTCTAAGGTAACTAAACAAAACCCAATAGTTATTTCACCTTTTTTTATAATAACAAGTAACGGAACAAACAAAATGTGGGGCTGGTGGTAAGCGACACACCTGTCTATAGCAGTTGCAGTGCCACTCAGACCATTAAATCGCAAAAAATGTGAGAAACATATTTTCGAACATTAATCGGTTTCAAAGAAAATTATTTCTACGGAGTAGTGTTCGGAAACAAGCTCTTCATCCCTTAAATCAAAATAATGTTCCAACATTTACCGAAATTGAATTCCGTTTCAGAAAATTTAATGTCATCTCTCGAGGTGCAGCTGAACCTTATTTTATTATGCAACCGGTCCCGAGATCAGACGATACTCGCATTTGGGCTCATTCGGGCTCCGTTGCAACTTTAAACCGACCCCGGCTCCAGATGCAACGATCCGCCACTGTGCCCCTCACCCGTAGACATTAGCCGGCAAGTCCCATGTGCCTGTAATTTCACCAGCACCGTTTCTTTTCAAAACCGGTGGCAATGCTTCCCTGGATGAACTCTTTACCAAGGAGCTCTACTGCGACTAAAAGTATTTTTAGAAGAGTAGCAGTTGAATATGTGCAAACGAGGAGACGAATACATAGGTCTTGGGATTGACCAAGGTGTTCTTTAACAACTTGAGCAAGTATTTTGTGATAAATTCTTGAATCAAAGATCTGCACTTGTACGAAACTATTCCTATACAAACTTCCAATCACGCTTATTTTGTGCGGAGATCCGACTTTTATATACTAAATTGCTCAAAAATATGTTCAAACCTTTTTATAACATCCTGTATCTGGACTTCATTATTTCTGTTTTATAATTACTGGTATATCGTGCCTAATGTGTGTCATGTTGGGAAAACATGAAAATATCGTTTTACGACAATGATAAGATAATTATCGTTAAAACTTTATCGAAAATTTGTAATAAAATTTTACAATTTTGTTTTTGTTGTATCTATCTTCATGTTATTTAAGGGCTTTGCGATTTGATTGATAAAACTGGACGTGACGTCATCCGCTATTGACTTTATATAGTATATATTATATTTTTATCATACCTACACCTAGAGGTGAATACGATATCTTTTAAGAGGGTGGTCGTTGGCAGGCGTTTCATTGTCTGATGTTCACTCAAACAATACAGTGTGAATAAGGAATATAATAAGATCTATAATAAGAGCTAAATCTTCGGGATGTATTCAGTACTCTATTAATGTTAGCGAAAAATTGGTCCGCTTTAGCTGAAAATAATAAATTTCACATGAAAACTTTTATAGGAACAACGCCAAAATCAGATTGAATTACGATAATTGTGTCGAAATTAAACATAATTAAAAGTCGATACATACGTTATTCAGAACACAGTTATCGAATGAAAGTTACCGAACGTCTTATTGTTTACAAAGCAAGAATGTAATATGGAAATATCTTATTATTTTAAATAGAATCTGGATTATATTCAATTTTATTTTAATGCGACACTAATGCATTCCTATATTTTGGGCCTTTAAAGTCTTAAAAGGTAAAGGGTTATTCAACAAGAACTTTGTTTTGTAAATAAAAATAAAACAATAAATTTAGATGACAATAATTCAAATTTTTATTGTATAAAAAAAGTAAGATTTGGCAATTATGAATGAATAATAATATCTGATAAATATCCACCACGACCACAGTTACAGATGTCGATTGTTTCATCAAAGTTTTTAATCACTTTTTGACAAAATGGTGAGAAAAAATTCGGCTGGAAATGCGGTTACGGTCAATGGATTACGCTATCGAGAGATGTTAACAACTCAATTCTGGCCTATTATTATATGGATATCACTAATATGAGGTTTCAACAAGACGGTGCCACAAGTTACACAGCCACCGAAACAATGAATTTATTGCAAAATATTATATATAATATATATTTTTTTAAATTTCCCGATCGCATAATTTCACGAAATTCAGCCGGTAAGTGGCCAGTTCGATCATTTATGTTAGAAACAGAGTCTATACGGAGCCAATCAAATCAATTGCAGCCTTAAAACTCAAAATTCGTGAAGCGATTAACGACATATACCCACTATTTTGTCAAAAAGTGCTTAAAAACTTTGATGAAAGAATCGACATCTGTAACTGTGGTCGTGGTGGATATTTATCAGATATTATTTTTCATTAATAATTTCCAAATCTTACTTTTTTGATGCAATAAAAATTTGAATTATTGTCATCTAAATTTATTGTTTTGTTTTGATTTACAAAACAAAGTTCTTATTGAAAAACCCTTTTCAATTTTCATATAATCTATTTTACCGACTAACTCCGTAAACGCTGTTGGATAATGAATAATTATCCAACGGATAATGAATCCGAATCGAACGTTTACTTGAACATTCTGAATAGCTCGTAAAGCGAAAGTAAGTTCTGAATCGGGGTCCTGGTATACGTGGCCTACTGGCCACGATAAATCACTGTTCATATGAACATTATTGTTGTTTTTTAGCCTTCCTATAAATATGTCCATGAGTGTATAGTTGTATATAACATAGTTAAATGGGAAACAATTAAAGCGCGGCCGACAATATTATTTACTAGCTAGAGAGATTGGACACGACCTACCAGACAATTAAACCATTACTCTGGTTTAACGCGTGTTGACTAGTAATTTTCTTCCTGTCTTCGAACAAATTTTGCGAGCTTTCTTCGAGTTGTAAATATGCTTCCTCGGGCAATGTTTTTTCACCGCTCTTGATACATTAAATTTTCGGAAAAGGCGCCCATGAGTTTGAAATGGCTTGAGGGTGTAAGGAAGTAACGGAGAACATACCGGGTACGTTGTTCTTGATGTTGAACATTAAGTCCGCACCAGAGATTTTATACGCTGAAGCCGCCGATGAACGTGACCGGCGGGGGTAAAATCGACGTGGCAAAAATTTATTTCATTTTAATGAAGAATCAGCTTCTTCGTTCATTAATAATAATAATAACGCACGCACTCAACATAGCCCCGCACTAGGGAAACCCTGTGTCGCGGGTGCCATGGACACACACATAGACAACCAGAAATTACACCCAAACTCACGAGAGAAATAAATGGAGGCCATACAAAAATTTCTCCCGGCCCGGGAATCGAACCCGGGGACTTCTGCGTGGCAGTCCGGCATGGTAACCGTTCGGCCACGGAGGCAGTTAATAATTTACTACATTTCATGACATATATAATATGAATTGTAAAATTAAAAAAGAATCTCTATATGGTGCACAGACACTGAGAGCCGCCGACAGGCAAAGAATTGACGGCTTTGAAATGCGGTGCTGGCGCAGAATGTTAAGGATACCGTGGACAGCCCGCCGCACCAATGTCTCTTTACTTGAGGAACTCCAGATAAAAAATGCACAGCGTCTGTCTTCAACTTGCATGCAGCGTGTGATACGCTATTTTGGTCACAAGTCACGTAGAAATGCTAATAACCTGGAA